GGGACTCGCTAAGGTGGCGCTGTCGAGAGCTGCTCTCAGTGCCGATCCCAAGTCGCTGGAAGAGATCGAGGAGCTACTTTGCGAGGTTGCATCAGCGAAGAATCGGTATGCCCGCAGGGGAGGTTTCTCACCATATCAACGGGTGTTTTGCGAGAACCCAAGGCTCCCGCGTTCGCTTCTCCCGGACGATGCGATCGATGATATCGGTATCGGAGATGTCGTGAGATGCACTGCGGATTCGAACTCGCCAGCCTCAGCGCTCGCTCGAAAACATGTTTTGAGAGAGGAGGCCAAGAAGGCCATGATGACCATGGGCGCCCGGGACGTCTGGCCGCCGCCAGCAGAGCCAGAAAGCACAGGGACCGAGCGCCCCCCCCTGGGACCTGGGCGCACGTCTGAGGGGGCGGGGCCCAGGACCAGGAAAAGGGCGCGGCGAGGAGCCAGAGGGGCAGGTGGACGGGCCCTGGGGCGGCGGTGTTTCAGCAAGGCGCTACCGTCTGGGTCGCGATGAGATTTCGATTTTGAAAATGTGGACAGGAACAAATATGGCGGGCCACCAAGGCAGAGTCCTGGGGAGCCGAACTTCTTGATACCCCCTCCTTCGAGAAACTAAGGCAGGACCTGCATAATCCAGGTCGGAGAATAGGGGCGGTGGATGCGGGGGCCGAGGGCCCCCCTCCACCCGAAGCATCGGATCTCGAAGACCCAGCTGGCCAAGAGGCCACGACGCCTGTGCCTGTTCATGTGCCAGCTAGGAACTTAGAAAATGCCGAACCAGCTGTCGCCAGAGGAGAGGGGTCAGTGGCCCCTCTACCGGATCGAGTTTCCAGTGTGCATCCACTCTCTGTGTCGAGCGGCAGTAGGTCTCCAGGCGTCGGCTCTGGGGATCGCGACAGCATGAGCGAACCTGAACTTAGCGAAGGAACCAGAGCCGCTGGGATGGAACCCAATCCTGAGCACGAGTCGAGCCCAGCCGTGCGACGAGGAGCGGACCCCTGTGAGTCCCTGTGAGCCCCCTCCGGCTCAGCGCCCCCGTCTTGCTCTTGTGGAGGAGGTCCCTGACGGGCCAGGGAGGGCGATGGAAGCCGTTTCTGAGAAGGAGCGCGAGATCCGAGCCCGCCTGTTGATCGATGTGCCCTTTTGTTTTCGCATGAGAGAGGGCCCCTCGAGTGCGTCAGGCAGCTGAGGTCAGTCGCGACCTGCTGATGGACGAGGCGGGGCAGAGCCCGCCGCTCGAGAGGGTTCCAGGTCCCCCCGGCGCGAGGCCTCCGGAGAGCAGGGCGATGAACTCCCGCCCTGGCACGCTGCAATGCCTGGGGAAGATGAGCAGCGGGGGGATCTCTGGGGAGAACTGTGCTCTTGGTCTAGTTTTGATTCAGCGTTTTGGGCCCGCGGGACCGAGGAAAGTTTCGCTACTTCCAAGGGTAAAGGAAGGGGGGGCGAGCCTCCTTCTCGCCGGGGGGCCGAAGTTTCACTGAACTCTCTCCGAGGCAGAGAGACATTTGTTGTATTGTTTTCTGACGCCAAGGAATGGAAGGCCATCCTGGAGCCCGGGGCGGTCCGAGTCGTTCCGGCGGCCGAGGCTGCGCTAGTTAGGAGAAGATTTCCGGGCAGGGTCCTCGGGTCTCGCATGGCGAGGAGGTTCAAGCCTCAAGAGGGGGTGGGCCCCGGGGTTGCTGCCAAATCTCGCTGGTGCGTCCAGGGCCATCATGGCCCCGATAATGAGGAACTTCGCGCGTGCTCCCCTACCCCGCAGACAGAGAGCATCATGCTAACTCTTCAGGCGATTGCTCGCTGGGCTGGGAATTGCAGATTGCTGACTGCAAGAACGCCTTCTGTCAGCACAAAAAGCTTCATCGACCGAAGGGCTTTATCTTCTGTGAACCCTGTCAGGGTTTTAGTCTCGCCCCGGGCGAGCTGATGGAGCTCGTTGCGCCAGTCTGCGGATTAAGCGATGCGCTTCTGCTCTGGCACCGCGCGCTTGCGCAGCGGCTGTCTCAGGGCGGATTTTCCAAGTCATTACTCGAGCCCTGCCTTTGGATCAAGAGATCCCCCCGAGGGGGGCCCGCGGCCCTGGTTCTCATCGAAGTGGGCGACCTGATAGTCGGCGCTTCCGCGCGGGACAAGGAAGGTCTCAAGGGGCGTCTTCAGATTCGGCTTAGCACTGGTAAGTGGGGGTCCGGGGAAGCCGATTTCGCGGGGAGACGCGCGCGCCAGGTGGGGGACCGGACATTAGTTGATCAAGAAAAGTACGTGCTAGAGCAATTTGGCCCGACGAGTCTCGCTAAGGAACGTCGAGCCGAACCAGACGCTCTACTGGATGAGGGGGAGATCGAGCTATATCGGACGATGATCGCTCAAATCCAATGGTTAGGTCGAGAGAGTAGGCTGGACGTGGCGGCGGGGGCGCCCCTCCAGAGCGCAGCTCTTCCTTCGCCGACAGTTGCCGATGCCATGGAATGCTTGGAAATTGTGAAGCATCCCAAGAGTACTGCGAGCCAGCGCATAGTGATATGGCCCTTGGACCCCTCGACCGTTACTTTTGCCGCGATCTCCGATGCGAGTGGGCCTGGTTCTGCTCGGAGAAATGGCGCCCAGGGTGGTTGAATGGTTGGGGCCGCCGATGCTGCGATCAGGCAAAACAAGAGGGCCCGAGTCTCATTACTCAGTTGGCGATCGACTCGTCTCAAGCGAGTTGTGGCGTCCACGGTAGCTGCCGAGACTTTCTCACTGTCAGCGGCTCTGGCCGAGGCTCAGTGGTTGTCGATCATGTGTAGGGTTTTTTTTAGCGACGTTTCGAAGCCCGACTGGCATTTGTCGCAGTCCCTTTTTATCAGTTGTGCTGAGCCAAGACTGTGCTCTGTCAGAGGGGACGGTTTATTTTTCCATAGTTGACGCTAAATCAATCTTCGACACCCATTCCCGTAACCCCGCAGGCCCTAGAGCGGACAAGAGAAAGGCCATCGAGCTAGCTGTTGTGCGTGACAGTTTGAGTGCGATCGGAAGCCAGGTCAGGTGGGTACCACGCGGCCGGATGGCCGCGGACGCGCTGACGAAGGCCGACCCGTCGCGTGGCCTCTTTGCTTTGTGTGATCTGTTGTCCCGAGGAACGATGATTCTGGTGGATGAGGAGGGTCGCATGTCCGAGCGTTCCTTGAACGATTATCCCACTTGTCGGTCCCGAAAGGCCTCCCGGGACGCGCTTTTGAAGTTACGCGAAGACGAGTGTGATCCGGGGGCCGAAGACGGGGGGGCGAGGTTTTCGAGCGTGGCTATGTCAGACCCACTGAAAGTAGTCCCGCTGATGTCGTGTCCCTCCCCTCCTCCTTCCTCTATGTGTCTGTCATAGCCTTTTAGGTTTGGCGTCCGCCATGCGACGGACACAGGAGTCCTGGCCTCTTCGCGGGCGCACCGCAGGGATAAATTAATGCCCACCTCCTCTCCCGATCTCCATTTCACTGCGTAGCCGTCGCCACTTGCACGACGGAGTGCAGAGCGTCGAGATCCAGGAGTGCCTTCGCGGCTCCCCTGGGGGCTGCCAGGTGCGCAGTTGTCGCCATTTCGTGGGCGGGAGGCATGGCGGCGTGGCCACGCGCATGAATCGAAGCTTCGCTGCTCCGCCGGGGGTTGCGGATTGAGCAGTTGTGGCCATTTTCTTGGGTTCTTGGGAGGCACGGCGGGGTGCAGGGCCACGCCGACCGTGTATATTTCGCAGCCCCCGCTCCTCTTGTATGGTGGCACAGTTCGCACTAACGGCATCCCCGGTTAAGCCTGTGCAGCCACCTTCTGCTTAGCCGCCGACGCAAAACGTATATCTCGCAATCTATTATTTTCGTATGCAACGCCCACATAAATAGTCGCCTCGCGTGGAGAAGAGGTTGGGTACAACTTGGCTGTTGTACATAGTCACCGTGTTTGTTTGTTCCAGTTCACCTCTGTTTGCGTTAGGACAAATCTGCAAGGCTCCACAAGTTTTCCAGAGTTGAGGCGTGGGGAATGCCCCGCTTCGCTTCTAGGGGTACCGTTCTTGTGGTGACCCGACCACACGTTGATCCTTCTGGTTCTCCCATTGAGCGACGGCGATGTTTCCGCATCGCACAAGCTGCGTTGCCGCTGACGTCATGCAAGGTCAGACGCGTAGGAAAATCGAGCGTATGGAATCACGATGTGTAGCGGAACTGCGGCATGTGCACTCGGGCGCGCCAAGGTACGCCAAGTGCGCCGTTTCCAGGCATTGCTTTTGTCAAAAAGCAGTTCGTTGCGTAATGGTTTTCAGATCATGATTAGCATGCACGCACCGCTTCTTTCGCATCCGTCGCAACCATTTTTCCGACGGTCGGACCCTACATGATAATACATGTAGGTGACCGTTCGCATCCTGCTCGTCGTGGGCGCACGCGGGCTGCGCCACTCGGACCTTCGGCACAGTTCTTCTGGGGGGCACGAGACGTGTGAAGGGTGTGCCGAAGTGGGTGGCGGGGACGCGTACGGGCTGCGCCATTGGGACCTTCCGTGGAGCTCGTATGGGGCCACGAAATGTGTGAGGGGTGTGCCGACATGGGTGGCGAGTACGCATGCGGACTGCGCCATTGGGACCATCGGTAGAGCCCCCTTTATGAAGGCCACGAAACGTGTAAGGGGTGTGCCGAAATGGGTGGCGGGACGCACGCGGGCTGCGCCACTGGGACCTTCGGTTGAGCCCTTTATGGGGGTCACGAAGCGTGCGAGGGTGTACCGAAACAGAGTCACGCGGAAGGCAGACGCACGGATGGGAGGAGGGAGGATGGAGGAGGAAAGGGAGGAGAGGAGAGGAGGAACGCGGGTGGCTCTCTCCTGGCCCGACACCACAGGATGGTTGGGAGCACAAGCCCCACGTAGAATGTTGGGAATGCTATGGGAAGCAGTGGAGCGTATGGAGTTGTAGTGCCATTGTCACGCGAGTTGAGCTGCATGCAAGTAGCGATGAGATGCGCAGGAGCAGGGGAGAGTGTGGCGCACAGGACGCGATGCGCATCTACAAGAAGATGATCTTGCCGCGCGGAAGCCGAGACGGCGACAACCCGTTCGTGAAGGCCGAGGCTGTGCGATCACATTACCCATGATCCGAGAGGCATGGCACCAATGATGATAGGTATACGTTGTTGCGCACGTGCTTGACATACCCACGCTCAGTTTCACCAACAGGCATGCAGGCCCATGGCGTGCCCCCCCCGCGGGCACGTCTGTTCTGCATGCCAGAACGGTAGCTCCAGTATTATTTCTGTCAATTGTGAGGTGCGTGGCCTTTGGATACGGATCGAGAAACGGGGGAGGAGGGGTGGGGGGACGGGGGAGGCGGAAGAAGGAGACAGGAGGGAGGGGATGAGGAGGAGCAGGAGGATTTGCGACGACAACGGAGTGGAGGATGAGGAGGGGAGAGGGGACGACGGAGAATTGGAAGGAGCAGCAGCAGAAGAGGGCGCAGGAGGGGGGGTGACAATGACCAGGAGAAGCGGGAGGCGGAGGAGAAGGTGGGGGAACGGGAAAGGGGGCGGAAGGACGAGAAGGGGTAGAGAGAGGGTGGGAAAGGACAGCAAACCGAGGATCAGGGGGATGACGGGGCAGAGGAGGCAGCGGAGGAGGGTGATGAGGGAGACGACACCGACAGGGAAGATGTTGACGAGGAGGGTGGTGAGAAGGAGGAACACAATGACGAGGATGAGGATGAGCTTTCGGAAAGTCCTGCATCGGATATCCAGCCGCCTGTGGTGCGGAAGGGGGGGATGTCGTAGTTTACAAGGTGTTGATACTTGTGTAGATCGTGAGCTGTATGCTCGGAGTTGCTGTGTAGTGTATGAGCGCGGCTTTCACGAACGAGTTGTGAGCGACCGAGGAACGAAGCATAGAGGTCCCAGCGGACGCTAAGAGCATGTGGCACCATGCCCTCTTCCAGCATGATATGACGGGTGAATGTGTGCCGAGGCACGGGTGGCATTGCAGATCGCGTTGGTGCACTTCTCCATGCAGGACGTGGCACCATCATTTGCGGCAAACCACAAATGTGGTCTCGCATACGTGTTGATGTTGGTGTGATTGCTCGTGTGTTGGACGTCGTCGTGCCATGCAGATGACGATATGGTGATTGCTATTGTTGCTAGTGTAGGTGGCGCAGGGACTACGACTGAAACCGTATCCATCATCACCACGGCCACCATTTCTGAGATTGCTGTTATCACGCTGCCGCGTACGGTCACGCTTGATATCGCCGCCACAGGTAGTCACTGTGATGGGGCTGAACCGAACGGTCACCCAGTGTCCCTGGGTGCGTGGCTGAAGCGGAATTCCGCGATGCGGATTCTTATTGTTGTTGTTGTTGTTGTTGTTGTTGTTGTTGTTGTTGTTGTCGTCGTCCCACCCGCGACCCGCCCCGCGACCCACCCGCGACCCACCCCGCGACCCACCCGCGAACCACCCGCGACCCACCCCGCGCCCCACCCCGCGACCCATCCCGCGATCCACCACCGACCCACCCGCGATCCACCCGCGCCCCACCCCGCGACCCGCCCGCGACACACCCCGAGACCCCCCCGGCGACCCACCCGCGACCCACCGGGGACCCGTCCGCGACCCACCCGCGACCCACCCCGCGACCCACCCGCGACCCACCCACGACCCACCCGCAACCCACCGCGACCCACCCTCGACCCACCGGCGACCCACCCCGCGACCCACCCAAAATTTTCGGCGCCTGCGGCGGGTTTCTTTTGCATTCGTTCAAGGTGGACAACCTGCGACCCACCCGCGACCCAAACCGCGCCCGCGACCCACCCGCGACCCACCGCGACCCACCCGCGACCCACCTGTGACCCACCCCGCCACCCACCCAAAATGTTCGGCGCCTGCGGCGGGCTTCTCTTGCATTCGTTCCAGGTGGTGAACCTGCGACCCACCCGCGACCCAAACCGCGTTCCTTGTACAAATCAAAATTTTCGGCGCCTGCGGCGTACTGTTTCTGAATTCCTTCCTGATGGAGGTGGAGAGCCCGCGACCCAAACTACGTTCACTGAACAAGCCAGCGGCGTTTTTTTTTTGAATTCGCTCCAGTTGGAGAACCTTCGACACAAACCGCGTCCAGTGTACACATCAAAATTTTCGGCGCCTGCGGCGGGCTGTTTTTGACTTCCTTCCAGGTGGAGGTGAAGAGCCCGCGACCCACCCGCGACCACCAAAACTACGTTCACTGAACAAGCCAACAATTCGGCGCCTGCGGCGGGCTGTTTTTGCATTCGTTCCGGGTGGCCCACCAGCGATTCCCCCCGCGCTGAACTTGTCAGAGCACGCAAATCGGCGCCTGCGGCGGGCTTGCTCGCATTGGTTAGGAGGACGAGGAGGAGGAGGAGGAACAGGAGGAAGAAGAGGAGGGGGTAGAGGAGGAGGCGGACGACGACGACGACGACGACGACGACGACGACGACGACGACGACGACGACGACGATGAGGACGAGGACGCGGACGAGGAAGAGGAGGAGGAGGAGGAGCAGGAGGAGAAGGATGAGGAGGAGGAGGGGGAGGAGGAGGAGGAGGTCGCCATCGACAGGGAAGGTGGGGGCCACGAGGTCCGCCGGCTCGACGCCCGCGTCGCCCGCGCCCGCCCCCTCACTCTTATCCGCAATTGCGGGGTGCTACGGTATTGATATCGGGACCAGTCCGGAATGATCTACAAGCACCAGGGCGATAGTTGCATCCAGTTGTGACACGATCTCTGGTGCTAGGGCTACGATTTACTTGCATAATGTGCTCGATTGCGGCCAACTACGACGGATGTGGACAAGCACAGCCGTGCGAGCACCAGTACTATTAAACTTGCGATGTGTAACACTCCTGGGCTTGCTATCACTAGCGGCCTCGTCATACAACTTTTTCGAAGAGCACAGCTGCTGTTGGCACCACCTTATCCGTACATACAGACACATATCTTGCCACAATTGTGTTTGTACTTGCTATGCCGAACCGCCTGAGCCAAGCCCCGACAGACTCGCCTCCGGCAGCGGTCGTAAGGACCAATTCGTGAGCGCTCGACCGAGCACTTTAAGGCCTAGGAGTGGCGGGCACGTGGCAAACCGATAAAACATGATTCGGCGAACGCACAGCCCAGGCAAGCGAAACGGTACAGGAAGGCGACGCCTCGAACAGCGGGAGACCACCCTGAGCGCTTGCGAAGAACGACGCCGTTCGCGCAGCCCGCTGCGCCGACGGCTCCAACTAGCAGTGTTTGGCGTCGGGGGTCCACGCCGCAGGCCGCACTGGCGAACCACCGTGCCCGAGCCCTGTCGCCGCTCTCTTGCGAGCCCCACCGGGGGTGGGGTAGAGGGGCACCAGGGGAGCGACGAATAGATGGGCCCAGAGATCCGCCGCTCCGGTGAAAATTCGAGCGGCGGGTTTTTGGATGTTTTCAGTCTCAAGGTGCCCTGGCCATGCCTCGGGACCGTCAAAAAACGACAAAGAACGAAGAACTGGCCCAAGGGACGTGGTCCAGACGTCCGGAGGCCACGCATTGAAAAAATTGGAGCAGCCGAATGTCTGGGGGTGAGCGGCTCGGAGCAGAGGGCGAGGGAGAGCAGAAACCCAGCGCGGGAGCCTCCAGGGACTGGCCAACGACGCTTGCGCCTACGCGATGCCCTCTGGGCCTCTGGCTCATCCACTCCCTTCGCCCCCGCCCCATTTTCCTTTTCTCCAAAAGGAGAATGAGGAGGCCACCTACTTTGCGAACTTTGCCCTGAAGCGCTTCCAGTCGATCAACCACGTCAGGCCAGACAGCCTCGCGGGGGCCACAGCATGACAGGGGGTCCCAGGCACCGCTCTGGTATCAGAATTGGGAATCGTGAGCGGCCACGATGCGTTTGGCGTGCATGATTAAAGAAACCGGGCGCGCATGATTAGAGGGATGGTCGGGAACCGGACGCTGGATTGCGGGCGGAGGCATGCCGTAGGGGTCGGTTTCGCTGTATCCTGGGTCCTTTGTCCGTGACTCTCAGAATGCCGTGTAAGGGATTTGCCGAAATGGGCCCGTGTACGCCATGCTTTTTTCCCCGCTGGAGCCGTCGATCGAGTTCTTTGAGGATCACGCAACGTGTGAGCGGTTTGCCAGAATTGGCCCGCAACTTTTCCCACAGGGGCAGTAGGTGGAGCCTCCCACGAGGCGCGAAACGTGTGAGTGGTGTACCGAAGTGAGCCTGCGTATGGCATGCGTCCGTGGGTGGAGCTCCTTACGGGACACGAGAGGCGTTGAAGGGTACGCCGAAATGGTCCCGCGTACGCCATGCAGCCTGTCCCATTGGGGCCGTTTGTGGAGTTCCCAACGGGGCACGATACATGTGAGGGAAGTGCCGACATTGATACTCGGAGAGCAGAGGAAAGAGGAGGGAGAGGAGGAGAAGAAGGAGACGCGCGTCGCTGCGGATTGAAAACGAGAACCCAATCTACAGAAATTGTGGGAGCACACGTTTTTTAACAAACAATCTCCCACAAACTACCCCGAAACCAGGAGCCCATCAGGAGAATATCAAGAGCGTCTTAAATCTTGAGGGCCTTCTCAGGACACTCTCAGAACTTGTGAGACCTTCTAGGGACCCCTGTGAAGAAAATGTTATGGGAATCTTCACAGTAGCCTTTCAACGGCCTATCATTACTCTCTCGGGACCCTCTCAGCATTTCATCCGGACCCCCCATCGGGACCCTCTCGGGACTCGCCCCGGACCATCTCAGTATCCTGCTATTGGGGTGCTCTGCTGGGATAATTCCGATCCGCGGGCCCCAGAGGTCTCGACGTCTTCCCTGGGGGTAGTGTTCCATGGTGGATTCGCTGCTGGCGGCCCCGAGGCCAGAGAATGGCCCTCAGAGGCCGCACTGAAAGGAAGGGCGACACCGAACACTCCACCCGCCCGACATCTGGGCCACCCGCCCCGCCCGATGACCTGGCCCACTTCACGCGTTTCACTTCTCCTTCCCCCCGTTGGCTCAACCGTGTGCGTGTGTGTGTGTGTGTGTGTGTGTGTGTGTGTGTGTGTGTGTGCGTGTGCGTGTGTGTACCATCCTCCTGTTTTGTATTTTATGCTGCTGTCTCTACTCATGCGTTCCGTTGCCCGTCTTCTTTTTGATTGTGTATGTCTTCTTGGCCGCAGGCTATGTGTGTCTGTCACGCGAGCGTTTAATACTCACAAGCAGCTTTGCCACCTCCTCCCCACCCTCCCCCGCTTGCGTGGCCAGTTTGGACCCATGCGCTCCAGGTCGTGGTGCCTCCAGCTGTGGAGCTGGCTCCGGGGCGAAAGGGACGGGCAAAGGCTCTCGAGGAGCCATCCCATTTGGGAAGGCGCTTGCGAAGGCGTGTTCCAAATCACACAGTAGGGGGGGGGGGGGGGGGGGAAATGTGTTGGACAGCGCGTTGGGACCCCCTCCAAGAGTTGTGCAACAAAGGGTCCAACATCGAGACCCCCCACAAGTTTGTTTGACGAGGCCCGTCTGACCTCTGCAACAGTAGACCCCCGCCCCCATCAATATCAGGCCCGCAGCAACCGCCAACGTCCTCGGCGAGGGACGGCTGCTATCAGAAAATCTAGGGACGGCCGTCACTTCGATGCTGCCGACGCATCATGGAGGCACTGAGCTCTCAACAGCCTTTCACAAGGCGGGAGCCATGGGGTCCGATATGGATGCTCCTGATGCCGCAACTTAGAAAAGTGGGCTGTCCTGGTGGTCATTCGACACCTGGACGCTGGAGGTTCGGGCGTCTCTTCATTCCCCCTTGCCGCCAGCCGCTTTGCAGCTTTGCGCGCCGGGTGGCAATCCCAGGGGCGTCGCCGAGACCTTCCGCGAGGTCGCCAGCATCGCCATGGTGGACCCCCGCCTGAAGGACTCGGCATCGGGAGAAGTGGGAGGGCAATTTGGAGGAGGGGCGACCCACATCTTCTTTTGAGGGGGAGGCCACTGCGCTTGACGTAAGTGAAGAACGTGACAACATCCCGAACTTGCCCCGAAGGCCTTGTCTCAACATATTCTACGCAGTCGCATCTTCGCGCTTACTGCCGCGAGATGCTCGCCCAGTGTTGGAGGCGCGTGTCCGCACGACCTCTGGTTCAAGCACGGCGGCAACCCGACTCAACATCTAGTATTTTTGGTGCTGGGTCCTTCGTGTACGTGTACCTTTCCCTGCTCCCCGCATGTTTTTCCTTACCCCAACTTCGGCTGTAAAACATGAGTGTGTTTACTGATTTGTCTGGTCGCGACTGCTGATTGTAGGTCAGGCCCCTATGTCCTTAGAACCAGATCCAGCCGTGGTGCGATATGCCGCCATGTGGAAATTCATAAACTGATCGTCGTCATGCTTAAGACCAAGGTGGTGATAATGCGCAGTAGCAGCATGAGGAGCCTGGACATGCCGGCAGTAAACACGTGTGTATGCGGTGCCAGCATACGCCGCCGAGGATGGAAAAGAGCAGGCTGTGGAGTCTGCGAAGAAGGCGTGCCATTTCTCGAGTCAGGAGGGCGACTTGATGGGCGAGATTGCAGGCAAGCACGTCCTTGCAAGCGCGTACCAGCACAATGGCATGGTCGGCAATGGGGCAACTTGTCGCGACATGCTTATTTAGTGCAATCGGGGTGGGCTGGTGGGCTCATGTCTTCTATCGGCCTGATTCGGACAGCGTTTCGTGAAAGGCATGATTCGGGAAGAACGCGATTTCTCACAAGCACTCGCTAGCACAATGGCGATGTCGACGCGGGGGCAGCCCCCGTGAATGGTATGCGTCGGAAATGGCACGAAGGATTTGGTTTCATGACGCGCGATGGACTCGAAGCACGGCTGACCAGGCACACTTCCTTGATAGGGTCTGGGATGAGCGGGGGACACGGGGCGAACATAACGAGGCCGAGTCTTTGTTGGTGATGTGGCATTGACCATTCTGGCAGCGCCAGCGTCGTGTCGCGTCGAACTCCTACTGTGTCCTGCAGATGATTATTGTTTCCCATGCCGCGCCAGCGCCGGTGCTAGGCCAGTATGAAAACGATCAGGGGCAGGTCGTCTCATCAGCGCGTTGCTTGTGTCATTGTGTTGCAGAATCGGCGCGCGAGCAGCAGTCATCGCCCGCATCACACACATCCACATCCGCGCACACACGCACAAGCTACACTTGTAATTCTGCGTGCGCGCGAGTAGATCGACGGGATTGGCAATCCATATTGCGATAGAAGACGATGGTACACCAAGCAATTGGCACGTCCGTCCCCGCCGTCGCGCAAGGCCCCCTCTCCCTCCTCCTCCTCCTCCTCCTCCTCCTCCGTAGCCATTTTGGTTCAAGATGGCTCGGGACTGGTTGGAAAGCAGGCGACCGTGCCCAAGCTCGGTTATTTCAACGGCATTTTCCTCACCGTATTGAATTTTATCAGGAGCAGGACACTAGGAGGGAAGTCAGGGACGGGGTCGTCACGCATTCGGCACGCCTGGACAGGGCGTACACTTCCCTTCCTCAAGCCATTATACGAGATCTAGACATTCGGTGTGGCGTCTTGGGTAAGTTGAAAGCTAAAATGGCCAGCGGCCACATCCCGATTTTCATCCACATCGAGCCCTATAGGCCCCAAGATGGCCCCAAAAACGTCTTAAAGTGGATCGCGAAACACCCCGAGTTCCAACGGTTCCTGAAGGCTGCCATCGCTGAAATGTCCACCGAGGTAGGTCCCTGGCAGCGCCTTGAGCAGCTCAAGGAGCTAATGTTCGCCTCGGCCGCGCACGTTCGCGAGTTTGTCAAGCACGAGATAGTCGACTCTCTAGAACTTAAGCAGTACTGGGCGTTACAGGCACTTCTGGGATGGAGGCTAGGCAAGGATTGGATGATTCACCGTGCTCTTAAATGTTAGCCTACGCTCCAGTCGCACTTTCGCCCTGCCGCGTTTCAGTGTATCCGCCTGGATGGCCCGTGCAGCCTTATTCGCAGTATTCAGATGCAGTTGATTGACGAATAAGCCCGCGAGCTCGAACTAGCTGACCTCTCCCCCGAAGTCAAGGCCTCCAAGAAAAAGCGAGTCAATCGATTGCAAGAGCTTTGGAGACGTTTCAAGAGCCGCACCTGTCTTACTGGCATTTACGATGAGAATGGCGAGCCCTGCAGGTCTGTCGACCACTCCGCTGAGGTCCTGGGGTCCTATTGGTCTACTGAGTTTTCAGCCCCTCCCTTGCATGTTGAAGAATGGTCCGAAATCGATGCCTTCATCCAGCCTATCCCTGAACCCCTTCCTCGCTCTTGGAAGCTATCTTATGGGGAGTGGTCTGACTACGTGCGGTCGCGGGTCCACAGTATGCCGGGTGAAGATGGGTTGCCTTATGGGGTCTGGCAGATCCCCGATGCGTCCCGCTTGCTTCATGGTGTATACCTCACCCTCTTCACAGATGGTGTTCACGAGTTGCCGATTCAAATGAGGCGGAGCCTCATGGTCTTCCTCCCGAAGGGCACAGAACCTCGGGGCAAGCCTGATGATGTTCTTCGCCACCCCAGCTGCACACGCCCGCTCAGTATGTCAAATACGGACGTGAAGATCCTTGCTGGCGCGATGTCTTGCACGCTAGCCACCAACACCAGCCGCCTGATCTCGCCCGACCAGAAGTGCGTAGCTGGCAGGGATATGCTAACTAACGTAGTGGAGGCCGAGGGATGGGGACTGGGACAACATGTGCGTGATTGTACGAACGCTTGTTTTTTCCTCGCAGACTTCTGTGCCGCTTTCCCGTCGCTGGCGATCCCGTGGATGCTGCGCGTTCTAGTCGCGATGAATGTCTGCCCGCGCGTTTGCAAGTTCTTCAGGCCCCTCTACATGTCTAACATCGCCATTGTATGCTTGGGAGGGAGGGCCCATGGAGGGTTCATTATGGCGAGCGGAGTGGAACAGGATTGCCCGAGTAGTAGGTTGCTATTTGTACTTGCTGCCGACCCTCTTCTTCGCTGGGTTCGTTTCAAGGCATCGGCGCATATCGACAGGACTTTCGCCTGCGCCGACGGTTTCTGCTACGGTCTCAGAGACGTTCTCCGTTCCCTGGGGCCCCTCCTCACCTTGCTGACTCGGCTCGGAAAATTGCAGGACTCAGGCTTAACGTCAAGAAGTGTCAGATCCTGGTCGCGGGCTCCATTGATGTTAACCTCCCGATGGGGTTCTGCTCGGGCGCTCCAAGGTGTCTACAAGCAGATCCAGTATTTAGAGGTTGTCAAGTATTCAGGTATTTTCATTGGCCGCGGTGCCGAAATGACTGCGTGGAGCGAGGCGGCCCCAAAGTTTCGGCGGCGAGTCGGGATCACCAGACAGTTTGGGGCTCGGTCTCACTCGCTCAGTGTTGGCCTTCAAAGTCATGTGCGTCCCCATCCTTTCCTTCGCCCTCCAACTTCATCCTGTGCCCCCTGCTCTTGCACACATGCATCGGGAAGCGGTCGTGTATCTTGCGGCGGGCCCGCGCAATTCTCTTTCGCATAACCTATGTACTCAGTTAGCTAGCTTCCACCTTCCAGCTGAGTTTCCAGACCTTCAGACGCTTGCGCGCGCGGTTTGCATTCGATATATTGTCCGCATCAGCTCGTTCAGCTCAACGTTGGCTCGACTGCAGGCTCTGTGAGACGAACCAGGAAGTATCTTCGTCAGGTTGTGGATGGTGTACCAAATCTTTCCTAGCTTACATGTGCGGGCTGCACGATTGGTATTTCAGTCTGCCTCGAGCCCCGCCCAGTCCGTCACCCCCTACCCTGCTCGCCAGAACATCTAAGGGATCCCAGAAGCTTCCACACCAACTATGTTGTATGACCTGGGCCAATGCGACGAGCCGTGAACACCCGCGCAGTATCCTGCAGCGGCGTATCCAGAAGTGGTTTCCCCTGGCCCAGCGTGAAATGATTGACGGGTTTTGTATTGATGCTTGTTGCGTGATTCAGAAAACCCAGCCCTACCTGATTGTCTCGATCCTCAGATTCCTCACAAGATCCGCGTGTACCTCGTCGCGGTTTCAATCGGCAGCGCAAGGCTGCCTCCTGGGGTGCCCACAAGCGCAAGGATCTGATCTCGACTCTGTTGCTCACTACGCTCGCTGTCCTCGACTCTCTCGCCTCTTTCATTGTTGGCTTGGACACGTTCTGCCACCGTCGTCGTCGACTCCTGAGGGTTATCCCTGGCTCTTCTCCCCTCTGCTGCTTTCGCCCTCACCACGCTCGTCGGCTGTTCTTTTTGCTGCCTGCATCGACGCTTTTCTCTCTGCCCATTCCGCAAGGCGTAAGGGCGCCCCAGGGGCTCCAGAAGAGCATGTTGAAGCTCGGTTGCGAATCACCTCGCGCCGTCATAAGTTCCTCTCACGTGCTCGGAGTCAACAAGCCGCTGTGCAGTTCTCTTCTTCCTCCCCCCCCCCCCCCCGCGCGCGCGCGTGCCACTGCTGCTGCTGCTGCTGAGGAGTCCCAGCCTGGGCGGGCCACTTTGGGCCGAGGTCGCTGGCTCGAAGTGCCCGACGGAGGCAGTGCCGCAATTGCCGTGCAAGGAGAGCTTGAGGCACAGTGACCCCGAGTGACGAAAAGAAGCTCAGGGGTTGAAGGGTCGTGCGCTTTTCTTTTCAAACAGCAAATGGCTTTGTCCCCCGAACGGAGCGTGGATACCTCTAATCCGAGGCCAGGATCCGCTTCAGGCAACCCCAGTCAAGCTGCGCGCTGCTGGGGCCAAGAGTCTTCGCTCGCTGTCGGCCGCTTCTTCGCATGCCCCCTGATGCAGTCACAGCCCCCAACCGCCCGCGTTGCGCGAAACTCAAGAGCAATAGGACCAAACTCAACACTAGTGCTGCCGCTGCGAGGGATGAGGTAGATGATGCGAGATGTGGTGGTGCTGATACTTCTGCCGCTCGCGATTATTATCATGATGCCGTTTCAGGCCGCCCAGATGTTGCTGTCGCAGATTGGGCCGAGGCCGACAGCGACGGGGAGTTCTGCCAGGACGACTACGTGCGTCAGCTTGTTGCAGAAGTCCTTTCCGAGAAGATGGCCGAGCACCCCGCTGAACTCAAGAAGAACCTCACCAGCGTCGTCTCCGTGGTAGTGTCGGACCAGGTCCAGGATTTCGCCTTTCAGCTTGCTGATCGCGCTGTTGCTGCTGGGGGCTGGCTGACGGCGTACATCAGCCCCCCACCGCGGCCAGAGACGCACCAGACAAGTTTTGCACGGAGAAGCCCGACGTTTCCTAGCGCAGGTTCCAAGAGCAGCACGACGGCCACAATATCAATCTCCGCGCAGATGAGAGCCGCCTCGACGAGCACGACGCAGTTCCTCATACCTCAGAGAGCAGATTCAGAAACTGCGGGGCGCTCTGGCACTTGCCAACGCTAAGCCAATGCCCGCCCCTGCCAGCGCCGCTGGCTTCGACCGTGACGTCTACGCGACTATCATCAGGGCTGTGGCCTCCAAGCTCGTCGCGTTCGAGTCCGCCCAGCAGGTCCTGTCCGACTGAAATGTCGAGGTTGGTGTCGAGGCCAAGTATCTCATCATTACTGCCGCCGGGGACGTCACCCGCCATTTCGCGATCCCGCTCGCGGGCTCTG